CCATCTTGCCTTTCTTTTCCTCACCACAGGTTAATAGTCTCCATTTACTGTTTACTTTTTCATTATAGAGAGCTCAAGTGAGCAGATGGGCTTGCCTCTGCTATGAAGACATAGAAGTGCAGTCTAGTGTTTAAGGCATTCGGTGGGAGAGAGCACTCATCAGAGAAGGTGTTTAGATGAGAACCCAGAACTGTTTCTACATTTTTTTCCATGTAAGAAGTTCTAAAAAAAAAAAAAAAAAAAAAAGTAGACTTTCCTCAGTGGGTTTGGTTCTAGAAACTCCTTCTGATTTCTGTTAAACCTATGTGGAAGATTGGCACCAAATTGGTCAAACAGGTTTCCCGTTCTACACAGCAGCAAGCTCCAGCTACCCAGAGAATTTTAGGGAGGGTCATATAGGAGATGTCCGGTTAGCTGAGCAAATGGGTCTTATTTCAGCTGTTGGCATATTTCCTGGTGCAGACCTGAGACCTTTTTGAGTTGGGATGTTGCCTTTGAGCTGAGAGAACACCTTTGTCTGCTGGGATGATAATTAAGCACCCCAGCTTAAATGGCCATGTAATTTGTTTGGAAAAATGACATAATCATTCCAGTATGCAAAACAGTGTAAGTTCTGCCGATGGAAAAGTTAATAGAAAACTTGGATATTATTTAAAACACCATTATCCAGTTGGGCACCCACATTTCAGTTAGGTACTCGAGAGGTCATACTCAAAAAATTACTGGTTTATTCATTCATTAAGTCATGTTAGGAATGCTGACATTTATTTCTATAAATTTGATCCAAGCTCACTGAAATAGTGGGAAGACACTACACATTTCAAAGATTTGGATCAGGCTTTGAAGGAATAGTTGCTTGTTTTGTTCTTGATTTTTCACTAGAATGGAATTTTGGTTTGTTTATTAATTTAGTTTTTTCTTTTGATCTGTTACAGATGAGGGATTCATACCTCATTTTGGATGAATATGTAAGTCTTTGTTTGATACTTGATACTTTGTTTGATACAATGTATGTACAGAACAGTAATAACAATTCTATTTACTGTGCATTCTATAAAATAGTTTTACCATGTCGTACAAGGAATACATGTAACTTTTTCCCATCTAACATACTGAGAACTTGAATTTAAGTATGACCTAAGGAGGAGTTGCCATCAGGTTGCATGCATGATCATTGCATCACAAAAGTGTAGATGTGTATCTTCGCAGGATATCTTTGCTGTTTTTCTTTAATTTAAAAATATAGAACACTTCCTGAAAGTTAAGTTTCAAAGAGTCTACTTAGTTTACATGTAATTGAAAAGCGATCATTTAATCTCCAGGAATTATGGTATAGCTTTGTTCTTGCTAAGATATGCCAATGTGTCGAACTGTGACCTTCTGAGCCTTCTAAGGACTACAAGTGAAACTGTTCATGCATTTACCTAGGCTTTTGTGGAATTGCAGTGCAACTTCTTTAATTCTGTAGAAAAATTAAGCTTTTACAAATCGACTTTCTAATGTCTTATCTATTGGTGTTCCAGATGCGTTTTCTAAACTGTACAAATGGACGGAAAGAGCCTTCCAAGTCTATCCTAGATGTTGGCGTAGAAGCAGCTATAAAATTCAGTGGATTTGATGAGAAGATGTTCCTAAAAAGAGGAGGAAAGTATGTGTGGAGTAAAGCAGACATGAAACTGGACTGGTAACTCAATATACTGAGTTAGAGCAGGTGCATTATGTAAAGAAAATGGGTGGGTATATATGTGCATGTATATATGTATCTGATGCTTTTAACTACACTTGGTATATTATACAAATTGATGTTCAGTGTAACTCTATATGTGAATGTGTTAAATGTTTTTAGAATGTAAATTATGTTCTTATCTATTGTTTGGTTGAACCGTACCAAGTACCTACGGAGCTTTCGTACAAGGAGGTCTCTGAAATGGACTTTCTAGTCCATTGCGTGAAGGACTTAAGGGCAAACCGTTAAGGTGATGCCACACGGGAAATAGTTTTAAGGTAATACGTAAGTGTGCACGCCAGAACTAAACCAAACCCCACCCTCTAATTCATTATAAACAGCTGCAACGATAGATAAGTGGAAACTCTTACCCGGGAACGTATTCGGCCTCGTTCCTAGGGGAAGGTGGATTGCAGTTCCTCACTCGAGCACAAGAGGGCCAGCTGGCAGGCCCCTGGAAGCAGCCCCTGCCTTTTGCAGGGGTAGGAGAGGGTCAGAATCATTAGTTGTAATAAGGTATTTAAAAGGAAATCAAGATGAAAAAAATTGGCAATTTTCATTCTTTAAGACTTTACTGTAAAAGCATCTGTTGTTCTTCTCCCTCTTGTCCATATACACGCATGATCTTTCCAAAAATGTTGAGGGATGTAATTTTCTTTGAAAACATATTTTCGGTCATGAAAAAATACTATATTTGTCCTAAAACATAAAAATACATTTTACCCAATGACGAGTAACTTCTTATTTCACATTGGCAATGACCTTAGTTCTAACAAATATTTACAGTGAAAACAATATTTGCATTTTATTCATAACTTTCTCTATTTTCCTTTTATCTGCAAATATCAATTTAATATTTTTAACATTTTTCTATCCCCGTACATACAGTTCTGATGAAGATTCCTTCTGAAATTAATTAATTCTATGTAGCACACCTAACATGTATCTTCTGTTGCATACCAGCTGTGTTGTTCGTATGCTTTTTATTTTGCTAAGCCGTGGAATACAAACAACAAAGTTCATATATCATGTAACCTTGTTTTAAAGGTTGCTTGGCTCAGTAATCATTCTTACTTACTGGTTACGAACATGCATTAAGTGAAGGTATTAAGTGTAACTAATCAAGTTTTGTAATAGCTGTCTTTGATTTTAAGAGTTGGCAGCATCAACATAAAATAGAGAAAAGTGAAAAAACCCTGCAAAACCAGCAATCTAATATGCTACCCTTGTTCTTGGTGTTCTGGCAGTTTTTATGGCTTTATGATTACAGTTTTCCGAATTTAACTCGTCCCATTCACCCCAAAGCTCTGTATGAAGGGCACGGGGATAAGCATTGCACAAAGCAGAAGTGAGCTGGCACTACTCGTTCTTACTGTTCATTGAACTCAATGCCTGGACTGTCTCACACTTTTAAATATTTGCAGCGGTTGGAAGCCAGCATGCATTAAATCTACCAAGTAGAGAAAATTGCACCTTTTCTTTTTCTGATGATGCTAGTTGATATTTTTTTAAAAGAGTTTTTCAAGATCAATGTTTTTCATTCACCTAATGCATCTTCAAAGTTGAAGGGGAAAGTGCATAAGTAGGAGCTGCTACTTCTGAATAAAGGAAGGTGCATCTCTGAATACACTGTGAAAATGTTTCCATTTATAATTCCTTCAGTTTCTCTTTTTACTATGCTAACTGTAAATATACCCAGTGGTGCTCTTTTGTCTCTTTGCATTTTGCAATCACAACACTTCCTAGACACTTAAATTTCAGTTGTGTTGTGTTTTTTTTTTCTTGTATTAATACTAAGTGACATTTAAAATGTGGCCCACACACATTAACCCCACAGTCTTTTGGCAGCTGTTTCGCTGACCTCAGTTGGAGTTCTGCCTGAGTAGCAACTACAGGCAGCATGAATTTATGTTACTGTGGGGTTTGACTTGCTATGCGTTCCCATTGCTCAAATGTTAAATCTAACCTCTTCCTCAGCACCTATGCTGCATGATAGAAAAGAAGCATTTTCCTTTGCTGCTGGCCGAGTCCCAGCACGGGGAAAGATTTAGTGCATCAATGTACCACTAAATCTACCAGCTTGTTGCTTCTGCAGAAAATGCCAGCTGTATCACAGCACACAGATGTGAGGTGCACAAACTCCCATTCAGATCCAGAAATCCTGCTATTCTTTGTTTTGCATTTTATTCTGTCAATGGCTATTCTTTTGCTGCAAGGGATCGTCTGTGCCTACGGAGGAAGCTGCAGGAAACTGGAGCAGCAAATGTGGAAATTCAGTAAATACTGTAAAGACACTGAAGATGGCTTTTATCAGAAAGTTCTAAGTTCTTATCTTCTTAAAATCTTAAGGATTTTACGTAGCCTCTTGCTACCATACATAATTAAGGAAAAGTTTCTGCTCTGTTTGATACTCTTTTCCAAAGAAAATGTGAGTCTTGTAAATCGGAAATGAAGAATTTGACATAACACAGTTAGACAGACAATCACTGAAGTCAAAGAACAGCTATTGGTATTTTTATATGCAAAATTTATTTTTGTGTAAAATCTTAAAAGGTTTTTGGGCATGGCTTGATTAACCTAGTTTATTTTTTTTTAATCGATAAACACAGCTCACGTTGGACCAAAAAAGTACTTCAGGCTTTCATTCTGTAGTTGGGCCTAACTTGCAGCATGGGACTAGAAAAATAATACTGAATTCAATAGGGCTGCTCCCAGGCTTAGAGATTGCATGCACATTGTGACCCTGAAGAGTCAGGATTTAAATTTAAGTCCTGTAAACGCAGATGCGCTTATTTGTATTTTCATGTGTAATCTCATAGTACTGCAGCTTAGCGCTTGCTAAAGATGCTGGGCTGGGAAGGAACCTACAGTGTAGTTTAGTAGTATTACACAGCTGTTCATATTTGTAAAATATGTAAAGAGTGACTGTTTGGGAGAATGAGTTACTTCAGTTAAAATCGTCATGAATATACCTTGCGTAATGAATAAAACCGTCATTTAAGATGCATTTTAAGATGCCATCTTTTTCAATCTGAAGGATGCTTGATATATTTGAATGATGAATTTTTAAATGATATTGTCATATAATTAGTACTAAATATTTCACGTATGTTGCACATTCTAATAAATGTTTATATTTTCTTAAGTTTGCCTGTAATTTTTTTTTTAAATATAACTCAGAACCATAATAGCAGAATGTACGACTGCATTCACAAGAGATCTGTAATTCTGGATGCAGTCTGTATTTAGCACGGGGGGCTGCTTGCGTGGTGCCAAGGGCAGCATCTAGGCCGAAATGGAGAACAATAGTGATGATTCTCCTTGTGATGAAAAGCATTTGTTACATGCTTGAGTGGACTGGGCTCTGTTGGGAGAAGACAGTTAAAATATCTTGTGCTGATCAGATGACAGCCATTACAAAAGACACAACAATCCATAAATATCTGGGGAGAAAAAAAGATTATCTTCTGTTACGGTAACTAAGAGAGCAAAGCTAGTCGATTTAGAGGACTGAAGCCAAGCGGCTTCTCAAGCTCATCTCCTGTCTTCAGGCTGCAGTATAAACTCTTCTACTAGACAACCTGAAATCGAGCTTTTTCACAGTAATTGGTTGTGTGTGATGAGAGGCTCAGCTTTCCCCCCCCTTGCCTTTGCCAGTTTTTTTTCTCCATATTCTATTGGAGCGAAGGCACCCAGGAGCAGAGCTGCAGGAAGAGGCTTTACACCCAACTCCTCCCCCGCTGCCTTCCCCGACCCCACGACCTCTGCGAGGTGCCCCCCAGGCCCTGCTGTGTCGTGTCACCCCTGCTACTGCTCGGGCAGGGGTGCAAGCTGCCTTTTCCCAAATCAACCAGACAGCTCCTATTCATCTCTCCAGCTCGGTGTTTTTCCTTTTGTGTCTCCGCGCATTACGGAAGAAAGCTGGTCGTTGCACCGTACATAAACCAACAACAGGAAAGCAGCTGGTTTTTGCTAATTAGTGCTTGCAAAACAGCCATGACCATCATGGTTTCCTTACATTTCCCTTCTTCCCTTCCTCGCAAGCAAGGCAAACCCTCCTGCCCT